CAAATATCTGACATACGATTGTCACCTCCTCCATACTCTCTCCCCTCAATCTGATATTCAAGTCCTTTCATACCTAATCCTTTTTGTTATTACCTCGATAACTTATCTTTCCTGTATTCACTATAATTTTCTTCTTTTGCACACCCTACCAAATTCATCCCTCCAATCTTCTGTGGACTTCTCTTCACGAATTCCAAGAGCAACAGTGTCTATCGGCAAAGAGCAGCTGTGACAATCCCACTTTGTGTGTGATTATTTATCCTTTAACTACAGCCTCTTGCAAGACCCTGCATTTACTTTCTTACAACCATTTGGTAAAAAATTGCCTGCAACTAGTGGTGTGTGAGTGAATTAAGGCCAGCAAAGGGTTTGGTTTAAAAGATTTAAAAATCGTAGTGTATACATAGTGTGATTAGGAAATGGTGAGGCTGCCAGTGCAGACCACAAAGGGGCTGAAAAAATATGTGCATGAATTCAAGGATACATAGAGGCTGAAGGATTAAAACCCTTGAACAAGTTTTTTAACTGTGACGAAACAGGCCTGTTTGGAAGAAATTACCAAGCAGGACCTACATTACTCAGGGGGAAAAGGTACTCCCGGGAACATAAGCCTGTGAAAGACGGGTTTACTCTGTTGATGTGTTCCAATCCCTAGTGGTGATTGCAAAGTGAACCCTTTTTATTGGTGTATCACTCAAAACTCCCAGAGCGTTCAGGCAAAAGAAATGTCCTCAAGGCTAATTTGTGTGTACTGTGGAGGGCAAACAATAAGGCATGGGTCACTAGGGACTTTTTCTATGACTGGTTACACCATGCATTTCCCCCCAGTGTGAAAAATTACCTAATTGAAAAGGAATTAGACCTTAAGTGCCTCCTGGTATTAGACAATGCCCCGGGTCCATCCTACAGATTTGTCAGAGCGACTTTGGGGGGACATGAGTTTCATTAAGGTCAAGTTTTTTGCCTCTAAAACCACTCCTCTCCTGCAGCCCATGAACCAGCAGGTCATTTCCAACTTCAAGAAACTGTACACAAAAGCAATGTTTGAAAGGTGCTTTGAAGTGACCACAGAAACTCAATTGACTCTAAAGGAGTTTTGGAAGGATCACTTTACTATCCTCAATTGTGTAAAATTTATGGGTTAAGGCTTGGGAGGGAGTGACTAAGGGGAAACCTGAACTCTGCCTGGAAAAGACTGTGGCCAGAATGTGTAGACAAAAGGGGATTTCGAAGGGTTTGAGGCTAACCCTGAGAAGCCTATGCCAGTTGAAGAATCCATTGTGGCATTGGGGAAGTCCTTGGGGTTGGAGTAAGTGGGGAGGATGTGGAAGAGTTGGTGGAGGGGACAATGAAGACCTAACCACTGATGACTGCTAGATCAACTTTACCAGCAAGAGGCCACACCTGAGGAAATTGCTTCGAGGAGGGGGAGAGAGAAAAATGAAGAAGTTGCCTACTTCAAAGATTAAGGAAATCTGGCAAAGTGGCTTGAAGTGCAAACCTTCATGGATGAAAATCACCCTCAGACAGCTATTGCAAGCCGTGCTGGTGACTATTACACTGACAATGTTGTGAACCACTTTAGGAAAGTCATAAAGGAAACGAGAGGTACAGGTCTCTATGGACAGATATGTTGTGGGGACAGAGGTCCAGTGACTCCAACCTGGTCCTAGTGGCATTAAAAGAAGAAGGGAAGTAACCCCGGAAAAGGACTTGCTACCTCAAGTCCTAATGGAGGGGATTCCCCTTCTAAATGCTAACACCATCCACACTCTCCCTCCCCCATCCCATCAATCATCACCAATCTTCATTAAAGGTAAGTGTCAATTATTCTTTCTTATTTATTGTTATTGTTGTTATTGAATTACTATTCTTTTTGCATTAAACTTAATATTTCATGTGGAAAAAAGTTTTTTTTTTTCATACTTTTGGGTGCCTTGCACGAATTAATTTGATTTCCATTATTTCTTATGGGAAAATTTGATTCGCTTTCCGATATTTTTGGTTTACGATGAGCTCTCAGGAACGGATTAGTATCGTGAACGGGGGTCCACTGTATATAGAAAGCCCCCTGTTATGGTCCGCATGTTGGGCAAATTAGGTCAGTGTCCAGGAAGCGGCCCACACCAGTCGACAAACACCTAGGTACCCACTTTACTGATGGGGAACATGACAACAGGTGGAAAGAAACACGCCCAATGTTTCTACTCTGGCGGGGAAATTTGAACCCAGACCCTCGCCTTTGTGAAGCGAGAGCTTTAGCCACCAGGCCACCCGTAAAAATTCAGATTGCTTCTGCTAGTTGGCACAGCTGGTAAGCAGTAAACATGTTTACATCCCTGTGGGGGCAGTTTCTCTCGTGCTTGTTTGCATTTTTTTGACAGTTATTTGGTGAAATTTCTTTTTTTCTAACCATGGTCCAGTGATCTACTGCAGTTAGCCTCAAAAATACTCCGTTTTCTCTTACAGTAAGAACATGGGAAGTACTACGTCAAATTGTGACAAATGGCTGACGCTTTAAATTTATTTCTAGAGTTTTATCATGTTTCTGTGCTAATTATATTGTTTAAATTTTGTCATACTAGATGAATTTTTGATAGATAAATAAGCCGTACAATTGATAATAAACGTCATATTCAAGTATTTTTTTCTCGTCTCTCCAGACAGCAGGAACGAATTAATGGCTTTTCAATTAATTTAAATGAGGAAAATTATTTTTATATATGATAAATTGAGTTACTAGCTTGCTCCTGGGAAAGGATTAAACTCCTAAGTCAAGCTTCCACTGTATTGGTAAATACATTTTTTGGAATTTCCACAAAAACAGAAAGCCAATACAGCAGTTCAAAAGATCTATCCAGCAATTTTAAAATTGGATGTTAATTTGAAGGTTTGCTAACATAGCAGTCTAGAAGGAATACAGTGGTTAATGATAATGTTCCAACAATGGTTCATGACTACTCTTGAACATTCTTAAAATCAGAAATTAAAAATTTATCTTTATCTCTATTTATAACTATTCATTAGAAAACAAATTACACAATTTCAGCCAACCTTAATTTTTTTTTGTAGAATCCTTTTTTTGGGCATTTTAAATAGAGCAAAATCTAAAAATTCAGCAGAAATAGCACTATCTCCTTGAGTGCTTGTGAGCTGCGCACTTAAACCCCAAATCTTTCAAAACCTGAACCAACAAAGCCTGTTGCCCCACCAAGTAGTTCTGCTGTTCTTCCCCTACTAGAAAGGGTGAAAATACAGAAAATAATAATTTATCAAACCCCCTAAAAATTAAATAAAATTTGTAGGACATTTTTACAAAAGATAATTTTCAAGCATGGGAAGAACC